TATTAAACTTTTGAAACAAACACAACAAAAAGAAGGTTAATCTTGTGTAACATCATCACTCTTAAACGGGTACGTGCGTGTGAGTGTGAGTGTGTGTGTGTGCGCACAGGCCACTTTCAGCACCGTCCTCTCTCTCTCTCTGTGCTTTTCTCTCTCTGCCCCCCTCCCCCCACTCATCGGTTAATTGCGTTAGTCATTTCATTAATGACGGACTGATTGTTTTATTGTGTTGGCTCGTCAAAGAGGCCTGGACGCCCCAGTGGCTGCTGAAGCGTCCGTATTGATAAGCTTTTGTGTGTGTGTGTGTGTGTGTGTGTGTGTGTGTGTGTCTGTGTGTGTGGGCACAGTCTGTGCTTGGCTGCAATGTGTCAACATGTCATCTTGTGGACTTGTGTGTATTCTGTGTGCTCGTTTGTGTGTGTGTGTGTGTGTGTGTGTGTGTGTGTGTGTGTGTGTGTGTGTGTGTGTGTGTGTGTGTGTGTGTGTGTGTGTGTGTGTGTGTGTGTGTGTGTGTGTGTGTGTGTGTGTGTGTGTGTGTGTGTGTGTGTGTGTGTGTGTGTGTGTGTGTGTGTGTGTGTGTGTCTGAGCTCAATGAGCAAGTCAGTGTGAATACTGTGGAGCTGGTTGGTATTGATAACAGGCCCATCCAGTCTGGTGTTTTTGGGAATGGGTCATCCAGCACTCAGACACTGATGTGTGTGTGTGTGTCTTTGTGCGTGCCCATGCGTGTGTATGATGTGTATAACCATGATGGGGGTAGTATCATACTGAGCAGTGAGGCTAGTAGCAGCCAGTGCAGTCATATTGATAAGGAGCACTGGGTTATTATGCAGGTCTTTGGTGGGCAGGAGGGGTAATTAACAAGGATAAGGATTGTAGGAGGCCTCATGCTACCCCAGTGAACACAGCTAACCTGCTGGGATTAGCAAGCAACTCTCATTAGCAGAGGTTCACTGATAGCACTTTCGCTCTATCAATACAAAGACGACGTTTGATTTAGCAGACTCCCGACTTCTTAATCTGCAGCCATTTATGCCACCTATAATCAACCGGGAAAACTCCATAACTTGAAATAACATATAAGTACATGCTCATATGTTTGTTAGATGATCTGATTATAAGTTGTTGTTCCTTTTTTATGTTTTGGGGTCTGGATCCCTCTTAGGTACAACACGTTTTAGAATTGCTCCAGTATAGATTAATTTGGCCCGCAGCTGAAAAAAGATCCGTAACAGCTGCTTTGTATTCTTTTACGTCAAATGTGCTCAATAAAAGTTCAGCCACATGTTTTTTTTCTTCCTTCTGACAGACTCAGGGTTGTTAATGTAAATTCCCTGGAATCATAACAAAAATGATCCCTATAGAGATATAAATACTTATATCTATTACTAAGAGTGAACCCATTTTTTGATACAGAATCAGCTGTTACACTGCCACCAAACTCCATTGACAAAAACAGCAATTTTACAACATAGAGCATTGAAATGCATTGTCCACAGCTTCCTCAATTGGGGATTTTTTAAGATTTAAGGACTTTATGTGTCTGCTGTCGACAGGTTAATTGCGGTGTTGTCAGTGATTTGAACTCTTTCATGTGAACATAATGGCTCAGGACAGATGAAGGAGAACCATGAAATTTGTCACAATACTCCATTGGGTTTAGAAAATGAACTGACTAGATTTTGGTGGTCGCTGATCAAAGATCAAGTCCACATTGACCTCATGTCTACCACTAAGAGTGAAATAAACAATTTGTTGCAAGTTCCATTCAAACAAAATGTTTGGGAGGGATCAAGATTAAAAGCTTTGTGAGCAAATGCAATGATTAGTTACCGCTGCTTGTTTGTGAATCTTAACTTACAGTTTCTTGACTTAAAAAGCTGAACTTAAGGGGTCAGTCTTGTGTCTCGTGGAGCAGTGGTTTTTGATTAAAGTTACATCGGGTGCATGTCAAGAAACCGGTCTCAAACCCAGCCAAAGGCAAAAATAGCCCAGATTAATTTGACTAATGGCATGCTCTCAAGCCCGAGTATGAAGCAACAGGTCATGAAAGGAATAAGATAACACATGTTCAGCCTTAATGTCTGTCTATCTAATGTTTGTCTTGGGCTTTTTTATAGGTTAATATTTGTGTTCAGCTTGTTGAGGTCAAATCCCCGCACTGTTTCACAATGAGGGTCAATTGAACTGCTCAAGGCTGATAAGAGTCCCATATGACGAGGACTGGCCAATAGGACAGAAGCAGACTGGACATTGATGGAGTGCTGAGATTAGCAGGGTCAGAGTGGCCAAATTGAGGCCCCACAGGATGATAGGAGATATGATACTGGCTGGACAGACGCTGGACTTTAGACTCTGCAGCCAGCAGAACAGACTGTTTGAGGAGTCATGTTTGGGTTGGTGCTTGACTTGGAACAGAAATCAGATTCTGACCTGACTCAAACAAGGAACGTTTGTGTCCTAAACTCCCAATAGATTCTGAAAACTATCAGCAGACAAGACCTTAACTCCACAAACGTATATTAGTTTTTAATGTGGTGGTCTCTGCAAAGACAGGGTAGGCCTCCACCGTGTCGTTTACCGTGACCTGAAAAACAAGTGGCACCTGTTTAAAAACTAGTACAAGTGCAAACAATTAAAAGGTTATTATTTATTTGGAAATCTGGCCCTTTTCCTATTTTTGGCTGTAAATGACTGAAAGGACAAAACGTTTTTTTGATGCTTCTACATACAGTAGATCTGGTAAACAGGTGCCCTTGATTTTAATGGCTGCAGGTTATCCTTTTGAGCCAATTTGTAGGATCAAAGTATGTCCAGCGAAAGAGTTTTTGACGCGGACAGGCTCAAGATGTTATTCCAAGAGTCTTACAAAAAAAAGATCCCTGCAGAAATAGATCTCCATTACAATCATTTCACCTTTTAAAGCACAATGACTATTTCTTTACTGCTGCCTTGATCATAATACACAAATATCTTTGAATTCAAACTGACTGCCTTAAAAAGAAATCACATGTAAAACAAAGTTTTACTGCCAGTTGTTAAACAATCACTTAGTGGAAGTACTTTTACAGGAAAAAGTGCTTGCAGGGATTAATTTGCAGTCTTTACAGTACATTTTTCAGCTGCTGACATGAGTTATCTACTGTGGCATTCCAAAACCCATCATTCATTTAGACCCCATAATATGGTAAAATAGGGCTTAGGTTTAGAAGTACTCGATTCATCTTTTATTAAAATAAGTTAAATCGGTTTTCTGAGTGTACAAAGTTGGTTGGAAAAGCTTTGATCCTCAAAAGAGATAACATTATGTATTGTAATATTTAGTCATCATATCATGCTGAGACTTTGCAGCTCTGAGTTCAGTGAAAAGTACTTAACCATGTTCCATGCAAGTCTTCATTAACTGTATTTTAAACAGCTTTTAACAAGTTTTATTAGATGAATTTCCTCCTCTCATTGCCCTGCATCAAACCATGTTCTTTTCTACTCCCTCCTCCCCCTCTATAACCTCCCCCCCACCCGTACACAAGCCCCCACCAACTCCCTCCCACCGGCTGTGGGAAAGCCATTTTATCAGCGTATGTCCGTTGTTCTCTGGTGGGGATAGATACAGAGAAGATAGATGAGTGTTTTGACATGGAGAGTGTTAGACAAACACTCTTATCGGGCCCGCCACTTTAGACCGACCCCCCGAAACGGTCGCCTGAACCACGGACAAGATGGGAAGGGGGGGTGGGAAGCAGAGATGAGAGAAGGAGGAGGGGGAGGATTTTGTGTGTTTTGATCAGAGAGAAAGATGGACGGTCATAACTAGGAACCTGAAGTCCACCCTGAGGCTGCTCGTGTTACTGAAGCTGGAGTTCCTGCTGCGGTGCACAGCAGTGTTGCTCAGACTTGTCCATTTCTGCACACATGTGCAGAGACTTCTCTGCGGCTCCTGCTGCTCTCACAACTGTCTGAAGTTTTTAAATAGATGGATCTGTCCTCCGTGCCTCCCGGCTAACTGGCTCTATCTGGGCTGCAGCTTGCTCAGACCACAGCCGTCACTGCCATCCTTCTACAGTTATCACTTTGAGGAAGTACACAAGAAATTTCCCCTGTTTGAACCGGGAAAGAAAGTGCTCAGCGTGTATCAAACTCCCCCTGCTGTCGAGCTGTTGACAGCTGGGGCTCCTTGGTCAAAGCTGTTGTAAGGGTTCAGGTCAAGGTCAAGACACATGATTCTTTCGTCATTTCTTGTTTTTTTATTTCCCTTCGAAGGAATCATGTGGTCTCTACATCATGATGTGTTTCAACAAGACTGATTGTGATATTTGGTTGAATGACATACTTTCTGTTTGTTACAACATATGCCCTCTTTTACAGAACAGCATGGTTCACTTGTAGGGCATTGGGACCCTGTATGTGTTTTTTATAGCTGGAGCCATCAGAGGTAACTTTTGTCATCGATTTAAATTGAATAATTGGCCCCTCCAGGCTGTGGTAGATTTTCTCCACCTCATGCCCCCTCAAGTTCATGTCCTCAACAGTTACTGCCTTTGTAAACTGCTTTTCCGTTGTAATGCATCAGTGCTTTCTTTGTAGGGATGCCAAGTGAGGACATTTTCTCACCACTTAATACACTTGTTATCAGTCATTTGTGTTACCTATTTCTATGGTTATGTTACATGGAAATATATAAATCTAAAGAGTGCTTACTTTGATGGACATGTGTCCAGGCATTTCCAAAATAACATCAATCTAACCTCTTTGTGAAAGCTTTATTTGTATAATTTAAACAGTTAAACAAGTTCCTACTCAAAATTTAAAAATGATTCAAATGCCTATAAATATCAAAACTGTCATTTCTTGAAAGGTTTCTTCATCATATTTGTCATTGATGGCACTACCTGGATAATGTTGACTCATCAGGTTAGGTGAATTAACATGATGATAGGTTCAAACACTTGTGTTTCATATTCTCTGGTGTTTACCCGTCCTTTCTCCTCTCCTCCCTGCAGACGAGCTGGAGTTAAGGGAAGAGGGTGGTGACAGCAGGCTGGTGGCAGGCAGGGATCTCCATCCAGACACAACGTGGGGTCCCTACCCAGGAATCCTCCAACCTGAGGGAAGCACAGATGAGCCAGAGACAGAGGTAAGAGCTTTTATCTGAGTGTGTTTCCATGAAGGTATACTCCCATACCAAACAGTTAGGGCTGTCAACGTTATGACGTTAATGCATGCCATTAATCTAGAGACCTTAACGCTTTCATTGTCTTTTCATGCAAATCAGTGATATGACTTTCCTGCTTCATATGCAACTTTACACAGAGCCTCATTAATCTTAATTATCCATTAAATAACATTAAATGATAATAACAAACTGTGATGCAGACTCAGCAGAGAAAGGGAGACCTGTGCTCAAGTCACCGACAGACAGAGAGTTATGAAATGCCTTTCTCTTCATTGTGCTGCGTTATCCTTGTGGCTCACATCAACCAATTGAGTCATTCACAGCTATGGTTGAGTTGTAGTTTACTTGAGAAGTCGATGAACATCTCTTGTTGGTGTTGGTGGTCCTAAGTTTGTTACTATAATGCTGCATGGTGCCTCCGTATACTTAAGGCCTGATTTACTAAGATCCTAAGTAAAGAGTACTAAATTGCCTGTTCGTTTCAACAAATTGCACGTTTGGTTGGTGGGCGTTTTGCTGGTGATCTACTAAGAAAATTTGTGTGAATGACACCAGGTGCAAACCTTGTGGAGGCGGTACTATTTAAGTCAGGTTTTTGCGTGTTCTACTGGTTTAAGTCATGGAGAGTTTGGACAGAAAGCAGGATGACTGCAAGCGCAAAATAGGTATCAATGGAAGAGGCATTAAACGTACAGTATTTTTGAGTTATAGCAGTTAAAATTGAATATTAAAAAATAAAATTTGGCTTATAATAAAACCTCGGCATTAAACAGGGCCTCTCTTTTCTTCCCTCCATCTTTTGAAGATGAATTGTCATACATTGCGCAGAAGGTGCGAGCTGTGGCGCTCAGGCGCGACACTCGGCACATTGTTGCGCACAAGACAAGGTGGCCAGTGCTGTGTCTGATCAGACATAAATGCTCTGGCAAGAGGTATCGAAGATGGGGGTACAAGCAGTGGTGAGGTCCCCCCATCCAAGCGTAGCAGCAGCAGGCTGTAGAGGGAGGAGACGCGCGCACCATGGAGAGGAGCGCACCAGAGGGCACGAGCTGGGGGAGAGACGCGCAGCCCGAGAAAAAGGAAATCCCCATTTAAAATATAATGTTTGCGAAATGAGGGAAATAGGAAGAAATAAATGTCAATGTTGAAATTCTGTAGAATGCAGAAGCTGTGAATGTTCAATTTTGTTGGCTAAAAATAGGCAACAATAGTTTAATCATGGTGTTTCCTGCTGTCATTCCAAACATATTAACATGTGTGGGGAATAACGTGATCTGTATTCCTTCTTGGATTCTAACTTCAATAACAGCAGCCTGTTGTGTGTAACACTGATATCCTGGGTTAGCACGTTCTTTTCAAAGGTGTTAAATACAGACACCGTCATAATCACAGCAAATTTTGCCAGGCTTGGTAAATCGCAATGCGTGTACTAACTTTAGTTCTTTGCATTTTCTCCTCCCAGTATTTTGCACGTTAAGGCAGAAACGCCCCATATTGAATATTCATTCAGGCAAACGTACTAAATGGACAATGCGTGTTGTTTTGCTCATATTAAAGACGCAATCCTCACTCCGTGCCGTTAGTAGATCAGATAGCACTTTTTTTGCTGGTGGTATCAAGTTTGCACACGTTTTAAGACAAACCTTTAGTAAATCAGGCCCTTAGTGGTTTGTGCGATGAGCTAGATGTGCCCAGGTCATTTTGTCTGCACAGCAGGGGCAGATACAAGGGGAAACCTGGGTGGCCCAGACCCCACCTGACATCTAATGGCCAACCACAAATCCTAAATCAACTATTTGGGCTGATGATTTTAGTTTAGTATCTTTCTCTGCATTTAAATATGTTCCCATTTTTTATCAATCTTAGCCTCTACTGTGACAATCAGCATTAAAACCTCTGATTTATTGACAGCACTAGTAACAGTACAATATAAAGAGGCCACAATCTAAAGTTACATCAGTGCATTTAAGTATGAAAAAAAACAGGTACAGCTCTGATCTTGAATTTTAAATTTGATTGTTTTTGGCAATCAGTTAACAGTAAGGCAACAAGTGGTTTGGATCTTTGTTGTTTCTCCTCTTTTTACACCACATATATCATCCAAACCAAGAAGATCACAGATATTCAACAGCATTGTGACCACTATTATTTAATTTGAAAATATTTATATATTACCCAAAGAATAAAGCAAAGCAGTTAATAAATACAATTCGAGTGAAATCTTGGATTATTAGAGGATAAATAATAGCACATCCTGCATTTTCTAACAGTGGTTTGAGCATAAACCATTTGTTGTTAAGTTGTGATGGGCTGAGACCAACTGAAGGGATTTCAGTTGAAAGGCCAAAGGTCAGGTGTCAGATGGTCTGGTAACAAAGAGAGACAATGAATAAACACCTTATCACTGAAATGTGTGGAAATGAAAACAGCAGTGTGTATCTTCGTGTGTCTGTGTGTGTTTGATGGGAACAGTGTGTGGGACCGGATGGAGCCCTATCAGAAGCTGCGTTTGTGCATCATGTGCAAGTCCATCTAATCATGTGATACTGATGCTGGGAGAGGCTTCCTGGCACAGAGCACACTTAAACACAGACACACATACGCACAAACATATGCAGACATTCACACAGTCATTCTCAGCTATTTTTCACTATACTACATCACTATACCGTCGAAGTGCTAAAAGAAAAACTCTACAATTTCAGTCATGAGTATACAACTCATGATTTTCCCAATCAATAATTTCTCCTCTTCTCTACTGTCCTTTTCTCTCCTTTCCCCTTTTGACCGCTCCTCTCCTCTCCTCTCCTCTCCTCTCCTCTTCTCTCCTCTCCTCTCCTCTCCTCTCCTCTCCTCTCCTCTTCTCTCCTCTCCTCTCCTCTCCTCTCCTCTCCTCTCCTCTCAGCCTTCCCCAGATTCCCATCCCATCCTCTCCCCTCTTCTCCTCCTCTCCTCCTCTCCTCCATGCCCTCCCCAGACGTCCGCCTGTCTTTTATCTCCACATGGCGCCATCCTCCTGGACAACAAACCCCAGTGATTGATTCATACTTGATAGGCTCTCATTTCTAAGATTTCGTTTATTATCAGTGAGGTTCTGAGAGTACAGATAGATTGTGTGTGTGTGTGCGTGAACGTGTGCGTGTGCATGCACAGACACACGGACACTCACCCATCACCTTTTGTTCTTCCCCTCCCTTCCTCTGCCCATACTATCCGACTTCTCCTCTAAACTGAAAAGTCAGTTTCTTTTCTTTTGAGGGCTTTGCATTCATATGGAAAGCTTCTTGTTCCGACTCTTAATACCCATTTTCTCGCCTTGTCCTCATTTTCTGTCCTCCTCCTCCTCCCCCTAGTCTCCGCCTATCTGTGGACTGAAGAAGTGAGGAGACAGACCCTCAGTATCTGCTGGAGATAGTGGACTGTAATCTCACATTCCTCCTGTGTTTCTCCCCCTGTCACTCCACATCCTCCCCCTCCTCTATCCATCCCTCCATCCCTCCCTGCCTCCCACCCTCGCGGGTCAGCAGAGGTCAGGGCTATCCTCCCCAGTGTGCTGGAGAGGAGAAATCTGCTCATCTTCTGCGAACAATCAAACTTCACTCCTTAACTGGTCATTTGGAAGAAACACTTTAAATAAAATGGCTATAAAGTCTTTGTATCAGTTTAAGAACGGATCTTAAGGGGTATTCTAGTATTTTAAATCTGGGTCTTACTATAATATAATTTTGCCTTTAACTGACCAACAAGTGCAAAATTTTTTAAAAAGTCATCGATGAATCACTGGTCCTCCAGTAGATTACGTCACCAGCTACAGCAAACAGGCTGTAATGGCTACAGCATTATGCTTAAACAATCATTCTCATGAATACGCACTCAGATTTTTACACAATATATTAGAAAAAATCTTTACAGAGGTTTTTGTTAAAGAAGATCCTTTCCTTATAACCAGAAAAGACCATTAAATGACTTTCATCAAACCCACCGGACTCTATTGATAAAACCAGTAACTTGACATCAGAGTTGTTTGTCTTTTACTGGCCCAATTAACGACAGACAATAACAAAAACAAACAAACCAATGGGGTCTGGTTGCTACGAAGAAAGCAATATATTGGCAATATCTGCTTTAAAACAAAAATCTTACTCTATTTCACACCCTCACTTGTATACTAAATTTAGAAGGTTTGTTGAGAATAAGTTATTTTAGTCGTCGTACTTTGATAGTCAAGAGCTTCTGAGCAAAAACATGTTTAATTGAAAACAAGGTTTATATTCTCTCTTTATCCATCCGTATCTCATCGACTGGAACTTTCTCTTTTGGCTGAATACGTGTCGTCTTTTGTCCCAGTCCTATGTTGTTTACCTCCCAGCTTTGGACATGCTTTCACCATCTGCTCACCTTTACATATGTACATTTATTTTTTAAGCTGACTCTCCTTCCTCACCTCTATCTTACTCCTGCCACCTGTCTCTCTCAGTCCTCAGCCTCACCAGGCTCTGTGAATGCCCCCAGGCTACAGCCTCATCTCTGGGTGAGATTGGCATTGCCTGCTAGCAGTCCTACCCCTCCCAGCATCGCCTTCTCTCTCTCAACTTCGCTGGCTTCTTATTTGGTGCGGACAGATAAGCAATTTAATTTTAAATAGAACACCACTACATTTGTGTGTACATTCACTTTCTAGCAACACATACACAGGTAGACTGGCGGACATATCATATGCAAACCCTTCATTTTTTAAAGTGAAACAATGTAAGATTACATTTCTCTGATGCTGCCCTAGCTTGTGTGAATGGTATGGGTGAGGTTGAGTTTGTCTCCCCTGAGACATCAGGGTAGAGCAGAAAGAGAGGGAGGCAAAGAGAAGCAGGGGAGATCCAGTCCCTGCCGTCCCTCCAACAGATCTCCTTGTTTAGATTAGTGCTGTGTTAACTGGCCTGTGTCATATGGAAATCCTGCCATTT